CAGATTGCTCTTTAGGAGAATTTCATAAATTAAGTAAAACAAGAATTTATTTGTAATTAATGTGTGAATTAGTCTTTTATTTTTTTCTTTTAAGGTAATTAACTCATAGAAATGCCGATTTCTCGGCCGGCGAGAAAGTGTACCTCGCGGCAAAAAGAATTAAAGCGCTAATCGCTTGATATATGTTTAATTTGAGAGTTTCTTTTCCTTTTTTTTGATTGATTATATAAAACGCTTTCACCGCAAACGATGTACCGTCAACGTAAATAAATTAATATCGCTGTTCCGCGGAAGAGAACGCAAGTATCCCACGTGTTTCTGTGTTTCTTCTTCGAACTGACTCGTAGAAAATCGTCGACTGTCAGCCACAGCCACAAATCGTCGTTCCCAGGACGAATCGATCATTGACCTAAACCGGTCTTGCCGAACGAGAATCGCGAGAGAAAGGAAATAAACGAAGATCGGGATATATATCATCTGTCGACGTGGACTTTCGGAAACGGTGGATCCATTCATATCATAGCATAAGAAAACGACCGACGCGACGCGGTGAGAATCCGACGACATATGTTAATCGCGAAAGAAAGTTATTGAGTTTTTGCAAATATGCGTTATTTACATATACTAATCTCACGCGACGAATCTAAAGCGGCCCCTAAACGCTCAATATTATTGTACAATTATTTTATACATTATTTTCAATCGCATTGTGTTCAGCAGAAAAAGCAGCTTTGAAACTGTTGTAAAACAGTTTTTTGTAAACAATTGATGATTCTTATCCTTAGTTTCTTACTAAATCTAAATGTATAAACCATATTACAGAATTTTGCAACAGTTGCAAAGCTATTTTTTTCTGCTGAACACAATGATGTCCTTTTTAAACAATTTAAAACAAACAGACTCAATATAGCCTCTGGATCAATATTATTGCACAATATTAATTATCGTCTGGAAGCTGTATTAAGAGACTGTTTATTTTGAATTGAGATGATCAATAATATTGTACAATATTAATCCTCTAAGATCCGCTTAAAAGCGTTTTAGAAAACTCGTAACTGTAACACGTGCGTTGTACATTACACGATAAATTGTATAACTGCCCGTCGGGGATTAATTACATCTAAATCCAATGACTATATATTTTCTGAAGAGTTTATTTGTAACGCTGATGCGTTCCCTCTTACGAGTCTACTCACGCTGTGCCATATATTATGTCGAAAAGGTATTGTACATAAATGGAAGAAGCGCTCGCTACTACACTTTCAATGCGTCAGGATGTATGTCTTACTAAGTTGACTGTACTATATCAAGTGTACGTGATCTGCTTGCATTGACGTGTTAGATGAAAGAAGAAATTAGACATATGTGTGTGTGTATATATATATATATATTGTGTTTTTATACATAATATAATATATAATTATATATAATATGTATATAATATGTATATATATATATATATAAAATATATATAATTATATATATATAATATTGTAACATATACATGTATATAATTGTCTGGAAAATGACTTTGCTGAAGTTTATAAAAATTAAGCCAGATACAGATCTAAAAGTAACTATGTTGGACCATCAAAATAATTATGTGTAGGATACTCATGCATAATTAAAATGCTATAAAAAGTTTTGACATTTTAATAACCAGTATAAGTATTGAATATAATTATTTAGATAGTACCAACATAATTATTTTTATACCTATTTTATTAAATTTTTAGATATTTTAGAAAAATCATGTTTTTATGTGCATACATATATATAACTATATATATTTTTTTTACTAACGTTGAAAATCTTTATAAAATCTTTATAAAAAGTGATATTTATACTTTTCTGTATCTAATACAAACTGTTTAAAAAGACATATAGATTTAATATTAATTTATTTCATTTCCTTCTTGGAATATTAATCTTTTTCAGAAATGATAAAACCATGTATATTTAGATATATGACATAGCAAATATGGAAACAAAATTTTATTCTTATGACATTTACGAGTTTAAATGCAAAAATGCATTAAACTCATAAATACATTTTTGAAAAATATAAATATTTAGAGTATATTTAAAATATTCGTATTGAGCGGACCATTGTTTGTAACAAAAATTTTATTTTTGTATTGTTATACGTTTTAAAGTATATTTATGTTGCAAAATGTTTTGGTCTTTTAATTTAACACTTGTTGACCTAATATGTTGACCCGATCGAAATATATAATACATAAAAACAATCTCAGGCAAATAACACTTTTTTATTTTTATTTTACAGAATTCCTGTGTTTACACGTTGATTCTTTCAATCTTTTTGTGAGGATAGTAGAAACAATTTTTTTTTTATCTTCGATGCCCATCGATAAAATGCACGGAAATAAAACCCTGTTACTTACAATCGATTGAACATATTAACTTGATATTGAGTAATAGGAAATCTTAGCGCGAGTCAGATCTGAGATAGAACGTTTGCGAGAAGTCAGGGTGAATCGGAACAATTAGCTAGAAATCGAGTGCAATCAAGCGGAAAATTGGGACGAAAGAGAATCGCGCGCCAAACGATTTCAATTCGTCGAAATGGAAATTCTATCCGGGAAATTCTAAACTGGAATTTTGAGACATATAAAACCGCTTGTTGTCGCTTACCGCAGCTATGCTTATTTTAAATTCACAAGCAGCGGTGCATAATTTGCATCGACGTAATTATTCCACAAGCGAAATTTCGAACGAAAAGTGTTCTCTAAGTCGTAATATAAGAGGGGCGTACGACTTAATATATAATATATAATATATACATATAATATAAGCCGCGTGAGTATAGAATATAAAGTGGTTGCGCCGTATTGCATATCTAATGAATCGATAAACATCGCTCCACTTTCGAAAGTTTCCGCAGTGAGATTTCAATGTGACGTGTTACATAGATTATTGCACCCTCGAGAAACGAAACGTGGAACGATTGATCTGCCTAAAAGAGCCGCTCCATAATGTGAAATACTATTAAATATCGCGAATGTAAAGAATCATGATTTATTTATTTTCGACTTGCATATGTATTTAGTCATGAAATCTATGTAAATGTGGATTGCAAATGTGCATATAGTCTAAATTAATAGCTGTCATCAGAATTTGTCGTTGCATTTTAGGTCAAACCGTCAGAATAATGCATTGAATTATATTAACAGGACATGAAAAAGTAATATCGTTAAATGAATTTCGCATCAGAGTATTACTTTTAAAGTCATAATTACAAATAGCATATATCAGGCTATATATCCGTCCAGTACGGATAATTTTAGTGTCTATATATATATATATATATATATATATGTATGTATAATAAATTTTTAAATATATATATATATACGCAAAGATTTTGCTAAACACACACACTATTTAAAAATTTAATACGTAATATATACACGTATATACTGTTTTTATTCTGTTCTTTATTCTGTACAAAATATGCTGTTTAAATTTAAATTTTTTTAGATTGCAATTTTATTAATTAAGTTGCGAAAGTATTATGTTTAATTGAAATATTTTTTAACTGATAAAGATTAATTAAAGTTGAAATGTTATATATATTTTATTGGTTTACATGTATGTTATTGGTTGAAAAAATTATAGTCATATCTTGTTAAAGTTAACATCTATTATTTGTTTGTTATTGGCCATTATTCTCTTTTTTTTAATTTAGCTAGACGTAGATCTGAAAATAATTTTGTTAAACTGTCAAAATAATTATATAGAATTTACTAGTTGCTATAATGTCAAAATTTGTTGCAACATTGTCCATTGATATATTTGAACGTTCTATTGTAATATAATTATTTCGATAATCCAACAAAATTATTTCATGAAATTTTTAGAAATAGATTTTTAGATTTTTACTTTAGCAAAATCATTTTATACCTATCAATTGCTATAAAAAACTGAAGCGATTATTTTTTATCCATATGTCACACTGTGTAAAAAAATTGTTTCTTTGATTAAATTAATTTAGTTAGTCTTTATTTCATTTAAGTAGAATTAATTTAGTTTATCTTTCTTTCTTACATTATTTTGAAAAATGTATGTAAATATATTAATTATATTTGACTCAAATACATACATTCTCCCCAACGAAAGAAATAAAGATGAACTGAATTAATTTAGTCAAATGAACAATTTTTATTCTTAGTGCATATATTTAATCACGAAATTTTCGTAAATATCGATTAAAAATGTGCAGATTTCAAGTAATAGTAATCTTCAGATTTATTGTCACATTTTAAATTGAATCATCGGTATTTTTTATTTATATCGTATTGTAAAATACGAGAGAGTAATTTCGTGGCCGGTAAATAAATTTTACACCAAAGTTAACTTTAAAATCACAATTACAAGCGAGATACACTGAACTATATATTCGCTCATCGTAGATAATTGTAGCTCCTACCTGCGTCTACCACCATAACAAAAACAGAAGTAAAGCAACTTTATTATTTCTAAATCCCACGTTTATGCCAAGATAGTTGGATCCCGAGATGGGAAATAGCATCTGCGATAAAGAATACTAAAAGCTGTAACCACCCTTCCATGAATAACGGCAAGTTAGCGCGTCAGAACGTTCTTTTATCATGATTTTATCGTATCACGATTCTACCATAAAATGCGACAGCATAGAGACATTCAAAAGTTACGTGCCTTTACTGGGGGAAAAAAACTAGAAAGAAGAAGATTCGAAGCTCTAGAGAACATCAAAGACGTTGATCCTTGCAACGTCAACATCTTCGTAGTATCCCTGCGCTTCTTTCCACGCAAATTGATTTTTATTTATTCCTTGTCTCACTGTAGATGTGTCAATTGTGGCTGCAGCTGTTACGTAGTCGCGCTTATGATAATTTGGCTTAAGCTAACTCCAATTAAGTCTCCCCTGCCTCGCGTAAATCATCACAAACTCCAATAAGCCTCTCATTCTCACACAATCTCTCTTTGTCTTTTCGCAGAGTAACCTGACAGACGGGGAAGAAGATCTGCCTGAAGACGCTTTCTCGCTGCTGTCGGTGCTCGTAGTTGGTTCGCTAAACTTTCCATTTGATCGATCGCGAATCGCCCCTCGAAGACAGCCTCCCAAGAGTGTCTACTCTCGGAAGCTCCGATCTGGCCCCGTCCAATCATACCGGTGGTAGTCTTCGCCTTTCTCTCCCTCTTCCTAGGTTCTCTCTCGACACCTTTCCGCTACCCTTAACACTCTCTTGCTGCTTAATATAACCGATAGAATCAAATAAATTGGATGATTGGACGCGTGTCCCGAGGGCGAGTGTCGTAATTGCTGTCACATCGATACTCATCACGAACTCTAACGATGTCCTTCACACAATACTCCTGTACTACAATCTTGTAATATTTTTTTGCTAGAAATGAAAGAATTTTAATTGTGTGTAGAGACTTTTTCTAAGGTATTTCATAGATGAAAAATCAAAAGTCTAGATCTTGTCTTTAAGAACAGTATTTTTAAGATCTATCAGAATACATTGAAGTGTTGCGACAATTTATTGATAATTTATTATATATTTAAAATAAGAAATACTGATTCTTAATTTTTCCTTTCCAAGTAAAACGTTTATATAAAATCAGATATAAGATAAAATCCTTCTTAAAGAGTCGCAGGCTATGCAGAAGACTTGCCTGAAATTATAAGAGGCAGCAAGAGTTGTCCTGATCGACGTTTTAGCGTAAATTACTTTACTATGGTGCTTACGTTATCGATAAAATAAAGGTTCACGAAGCGAATTATATACTCTGCTGAATCTAGCCTTTTAAAGGGGATATGCACATGAACCAGAACGGATTTACCGGCTCTTTGTTCATTTTATTCACCCAGCTTCACCTGTATTCCATCTTTTCAACGTTCGCGCTTGTAATATATTAATTATAGAAATACATGTAACGCCAAATATTAAAAGTCAGGAGATTACGGCTACCCTCGAATTTTTCCCGATGAGTAATCGACGTCAATTTCGCCAGAAACGATTTCATTAGGACGAAGGTCAGAGCTTCCGAGATCCTTCATAAACAACATTTATTATATCGTGCAGTAAAAGTTTTAATACATATAATCTCAAAATTTCTCGGTAAAAGATATATATTCATTATACAGCCATCCAATACTAGTAGTAATATCAATATTTGCGCTGCATCAGCATGACGCGGCTCTTCTTATTCATCCTTCGATTGAATTCGATGAATAGCGACGAATCATATTTCATCGACCGACCGACACGACGTCGGATTTCTTAAAGGCCGACACGCTTCGAGGGGCGATGTGTTGTACGGTTGAACAGTAGCGTGTCCTGGCGATTCTCCGCTAGACGGATCTCCGCGATATCCGTAGGATTCCTCCTCGTGATCCTGATATTCTTCTCCGTCGCCGGCAACGTCTTGGTCTGCGTGGCGATCTACACCGACCGCGGGCTACGGAGGATCGGCAACCTCTTCCTGGCCTCCCTGGCCGTCGCCGACCTCTTCGTCGGTGGGCTGGTGATGACCTTTGCCGGGGTCAACGATCTCCTCGGCTACTGGATCTTCGGAATATGGTTCTGCGACATCTGGATCGCCTTCGATGTTATGTGCAGCACTGCCTCTATTCTGAATCTATGCGCCATATCACTCGATCGTTACATACACATCAAGGATCCTCTCAGGTGAGATCCGGTTGCGATAGATACACCGAAGAAACGATTTTGCTAAAGTATCTCAAAATTTAGGTAAGTACAGATCTGAAAATAATGTTGTTGGGAACAACCTAAATAGGGTAAGTTGATACAATTTTGACTATGGTACAATTCTGGAAGAAATAAGATTTAAATCCAAATTCTAAATTTAAGTTTGGTAATTTTGATCTCACTAAAGGAAACCATTCAAACGGGAAAAAAATAAAACTTAAATCTCAAAAAATTGAATTCAAATCTTATTTTGTTTACATAGAATTGTACCTTGTTCGAAATTGTTCCCTGTCAAAACAATTATGTCGCTCAAACTGGTTGCTATTATATAATGTTAAAAAACTTTTTACGGCATTGCTCATCATGCTTGAGTTTCCTACATAATTATTTTGATAGTCCAATAAATTTATTTTCAGATTTGTATCATATCTACTTATATATA